GAGCTCGATGGGCCGAATGGCCTCCTCTCGTTTGTATAGTTCTTATGTTCTTATGTAAAGGAAGGCGGTATGGGACACAGGAAGAGCTGAGCGCAGCTGAGCTAGGACTCACTTTTTATGACCAATGCCATACTGGTAAACATGAGAACCAAAGAGAGTTTACTATTGCTGAGATGTAAGTGCATAAAGAAGGGCTTACCTTTCATTTGCTCTAAATTAAATGACAGTGAGTCAAAAAGCATGTTCACTACATTCACATTCCTTGAACAGCAACCGAGATGCATGCATTTAGGGTTATAAATCAATATCAGATTGCAAGCAGGTAAGCAGTGTAGTCATGTGAGTGTTTACATTTTTTGTGCTCTGTCATGAACTGGCATCCTGTCCAGGGTGCTTCATCTGCCATTTGCCCTCTGCTACCAGGTCTCCAAGCTGCTGGAAGACATGTCTGTTTATTACCCATAGCTACTAGAAACCAGCGTGTTGTTTAGTAATTAATAAACTGAGAGTGCGGGTGGGGAGATAACGGGTATTCTGGTTAAAGAACAAAAAACACAAGGGTTACCTTCCTTACATCTAGGTGACCTACTGTAGTTTCTGCAGTGATACCCTTTAAGCAATGTGTTTAATCTGAACTGTTCAAATAAAATAGCCGTTTTTATAAGTAAATGAATGATGTTGCTAAGCAACTAACATCCACATTTTTATGCTGTTTAATGGATAGTTGCTCATGCTGTTATTTCTATAGTTATCATTTCTGTTCTTTTTCTTTTATAAATAAATGGGCCGCAAGTAGTAGTAGCATCACTGGTAAGTATGAATGTTGTCTTTTCATTCTGAAACTTGAATGCTTTTCATTTTTTTTATTGAATAAAAGATTAAACTTGTCTTTCTTAAAATGCCCTGTTTTTTTAAACAAAAAAGTGAAGATAAACAGAAAGTTGAAGTGGGAATGGCGACTCACATCTCAGTGGTCTGCGTTGTCTGACCTGCAGGCAGTATCCTGGTCCGATTCCAGTGAAACCTGGGCTAGCTGACTTCCAGTGGGACCACCATGAAGTCCACCATGAAGTCCACCATGAAGCAGTGGAAGCAGCTGGTTGTAGCTGGGATAGTAGCTTGGATTTTGCTTGTTTTGGTGCTGTTCACCTACTTCATGGACTCATGGATGGACAGTCTCCAATTCTCCACCTCTTACCAAGACACGATGCATTTTACCTACATCCAGAGGCACAAAGCTGTCATGGTGACCCCAGTGGAGATGGCCATCGCTGGCCAGGGTGCAGACTTAAGACACGGGCCATATAAAAAGCCAAGGGCTGTTGAGAAGGGGGATTCACACATTGTGGTAGAAGAGAAGGACTTTTGGAAAAGATCAAGAGACACACAGATCAAGAGTTTCAGGAAAGTCGTACAAGAAAAAGACCAGAAACGAGTGGGTGAAGCTGATGCACGGGCGCGCAACTCCAAGACCAAGTCTCTAATCCACAGACTGTGGAAAGGTAACATGTCATCACGTATGCTCAGCAAACGGCTACAGATCGCCATGAGGGAGTATGTGAATATGAACAAGCACCATGTGGTGTACAGGGGCCACCGTTGGACTAAGATGGGAAGGCAAGAGCTGCTCTGCCGGCTGAAGAGCCAACTTCAGGTCCTAACCTTGGATGGAAGAGAATTGCCCTTCTCTCAGCTTGGCTGGGAGAAACTGGTACCGGGACAGCCTCTGAGTCAGCTCTTTGAATCAAAAGTGCAGACCTGTGCTGTGGTCTCCTCCGCTGGAGCGATCCTTAACTCGTCCCTTGGGAAAGAGATCGGTGAGTTTGAGCTAGACATTCATAGCAGCTTCCATAGTGCAGAAATAAGCTGTTTTTCTTCCCTAAGTTTCTGTCAAAGTTAAAAGGGTCACAGGCAGAGGGATTTGGGTACTGAAGATCATTAGGGTCGTCTCAAAGAAAAAAACTATAAAACATTTTTTTTTTATTGCCCACCACCACCCTATAACTATAAAACATTTTGAGATCCAAGTAGAAATAAACTTTCAAGATTAAAGTAGGAATAAAAGCTGAATTCTACGGATAGGTTCTCCTAACACAGCAGTTGGGGGGGGGGGGGGTCATGAGATCATTTGCAGAATATATCACTAAACAGAACGTGAAAAATATAACCTCAACTGGTCGATTGCAATAAACCTACGGAGTGGCCCCATCGGAAGGCAAAATATATCGTCAGGACTTGGTAACTCACATTGAAGTAAAGGTTGGAGACCATTAATGTAAACCTATTGAGGGTCGCAAGTCTCTGACTGTTATTTGGAGTCGTGGGCTAAAATGTGAGCCTTCTTTTTATTGGAATGAACCCAGAAAGCAGCTGAATGTGAGGTACTGTATCTGTATAGTGTTGTCATGTAGTGATTCACGTCCTACAGATATCTCACTGTCACTGGCAGGTTTCTACCGTTAAACCTTTGCTAGAACGAGTAGGTTAAGGAAAGGTATACTTGATTTCTTCAGATCATTTTCAGTTTTGAAAAATCAGACTTAATGCAATTCCAATGAAGAATTTCATAATTTTACGTATAGGATTCACCCTGTGTGTAACTCCGCTATCTCCAAGCTCCTGGTCTGGGGATCTGAAACCAAAATAAAAAGCTTATTTAATAGTGGCTGTATTAGAAGCAAAATCACTTTTCATTTTTTGCAGCAATTTCAGGTTTGTATGGGTCTGAGAAAGCATATGCATCCTGCCAGATGTATGACGGTGTGACCTCAGAAGGCTTTGTGGCAAAGCGCAGCTCTTCCATTTTCCATGACGATGGGTTTGACATTCAGAGGTTTAGAGAAGCCTCTGGCCTTGTTTTAACTATGCTCACTAGTAGTGAGCGGTGTGTTTGCAACCACAGGTTTTTCACGGATGTTGGAATCCTTACCAGGGCTGTGCAGAGATTTTTAGGGATTTTCAGGAAACCCCAGCGCCTCCCGCCTGCACATACCGGCTCATTATGCAAAAACCACTTTTTGTGCTTTGTGTGTGTCATCCATCCAACCCTGTCAGTGCTGGTCTGCTTACAAACTCCATGCATGTTCTCATGTTACAGCAGAGTCATGCCTCTCTCTAGCACACAGCAGGTCGATCGAAAGGTAAGCTGACCTGGAAATATAGTGCAACCAGTTTTTCGGTTTAATGTGCCGACTGCATGAGCGGCAGCCTAAGCCTGATCACCGCCCCGTTAAAGCCGGCCAAGGAGCAGATGTCTCCTCCTTTGGGTGAGACTAAAACTGCGTTTGTCAAAAGGGCTTTCAGTCGCTCGTGATTCTCTAAGTATTTTAATCGGAAATATTAACGATTTCCTGCTGTTTTCTGACAAACAGCTGCAAATCCACTGTTTTCTTCATCTAAAATAAAGCACAGAAAATAGCAGCAGTGTGTGCTTTTCCTGCTAAACGCCAAAGATCATTGATGTATGTGGGCATGCACATGAATGTAATCATACTTGTGCTCGCATGCAGACACGGGGTAGAATGTTGTTATTCCCTGTTAGTTTATCCCTCCCTCCATAACCACCCGACCAATGGTCATCCATATAGCATAGTGCGTGAGGCAGGGGACACCCTGGGCGGTCTGTTAGTCCCTCGCAGGGGACACCCTGGGCGGTCTGTTAGTCCCTCGCAGGGGACACCCTGGGCGGTCTGTTAGTCCCTCGCAGGGGACATACATGCAGATGTGCTTCATTATGTAGAAAATAATCAGAATAGAACAGATATCTTTGAACTTAATACTGGTTGTCAGCCTGTTGCTTGATTTTGGTGCTTGGGAAATAATTAGATCTTTAATATAGTTTTTATAACTCAGGAATAACAGCACACACATTTTTAAATGGCATAAACATGGCACAAATGATTGAGAATGGTTTGGTCCAGCTTCACAGGTGTGACATTACTATGTAAACAAGCATTTATATCTCCGAAACTAAAACAGTGCAAAATAAACTTTCAGCGCGGTACAGACAATTGAGACCGGTTTTGTTGAAAGCAAATGCGAATTGGGGGCAACGTCACTGTGATCATGTTACCATGTAAGTAAACATATCTCAGGCTACGTTCACACTGCCAGCCACATCGTTCAATTCCGATTTTTTGCTCAGATCGGATTTGTCTATCTAGACGGTTCACATTCATAAGCACAAGTGACCTGTATCTGACTGTAATGTGAACGCATCGGTCCTCCGAAACGTCACGCATGCGCACATTGATATGTTTTTACACGGGTAAATAGCTGGTTGTAAAATTGGTACGTTGTGCGGCCATGACCGCTGCGCTGATTCGAGTCATTTGCCTCCTTAAACTTTGACTTCAGGCTCTTTATTTTTCTTTGGCATTGTAGCCACGCTCGTGTCCGCGCTGTGCCATTTCTTTGGCAATTATTTCAAATACTACTCTATTACGATAGGTTCCTTCCAGTTTGGCTTGAACAGATTAATTTCCCCAAATATCAATTAAATCCCCACCTTCTCCATCCTTCCACTGACTGTTATCGCAGCTCTCCTCCATTTTTACCTTCCTGCGCTGCCGGTGCAGGCTGATGTAGCGCATGCGTCTAAGCAAAAAGCCACATGAATTCCGATCTGAGCGTCACATTCAGGTCGCATGGCCGCGAATCGGATACGTATCCGATTTAGTACCACATATGAAAGTGGCACAAATCCGATTTGAAAAGATCAGATTTGCGTGTCCACACAGCCCTGAAAAGATCAGATCTGTGTCACATTAAGGCAAAAAATCCGATTTGAATCACTTCAGCATGGCAGTGTGAACGTAGCCTCAAATGAAAATTTCAGTGACACAAACTGGCAAAAATGAGGCACAAACAATTATACCAGTTTGGTTAAATTTGAAACGGGGGGGGGGGCTTAGTGCAGGTACTTCTAATTTACAAAAAAATTGTTGCTGCCATCTGCTGGACATTTATTTTAAATGCATCTTATCTCAGAGGCTGCAGGCACAAGGCGGGAATACCCTGGATGGTGCACACACCATTAACCTCAGTAAGCTTTTGGACTGTGGGGGGCGGAACCAGAGTACCTGGAGGAAACCCCACAATGACATAGGGAGAACAAGCAAACTCCACATATAGGGCCTTGGCTGACACTCGAACCCTGGTGCCAGAGGTGTGACTGCACCACTGCATGGGAAATATTATAGGATGTGAAAGAGGTGGATTTTGATAGGCTCTAACGGCCTCACTCTCTGATATCTTATTCCTCTGCCCACAGACGATCACGATGTCGTGCTTCGCTTCAATGCGGCACCCACCAAAGGTTATGAGAACGACGTTGGCAACAGGACCACCATCCGCATCATCAACTCTCAGGCAGGTGCTGCTCTGCGGGTTTGTGCCCCTGGGCTGAAGGCTGCTGATACAAATTACCCTGAATGCCAGAGTGATTTGTCCTTTGGGGCCCTTGAACGAGGCCCTTCTCTCCAGTGGCTGCGGGATGCTGGCTGACGCTGCTCTCTAACCCAGACTTGTTCATAGAGTTACCATCCATCCCGTATTCTATGGGATCATCCGGTATTGAAAAATAAAATGCTGTGTCGATTTTTGAACCAATGCAGGAAAAATCATGTGCTGTAGTGGTTCAAAAATTGAACACGGCATTTTATTTTTCAATATGGGACGATTTTTCTATTTGCCCCTGCAAGTTTTATTTTTGCGACGCCCACAGCTTTAGATTGAAAGTGGTAAGTCAATTTGTATGTTGCTTTGGGCAAAAAAAGTCTGCTAAATGAATGAAATATGCTTTTTATGCATCGTGAATTGCATAGGTAGGAAATGCACAGGCTAATGAGATGGGATAGGGGAGCACCACTGATGGAATCCTCTTGCTTTTGAAGTATTATGAAGGCAGTCAAAGGAGCAGAGCTCCTACAGGCTGCAGTGTGGTTATCTCATGTTAACTTTTTTTTCTCCATTCTATCACTTGTAGATTCTGGCCAATCCCTCCTTCCGTTTCCAGACCAGCAGTCTGTACAAGGGTCTTGTTCTGGTGGCTTGGGACCCTGCGCCATATAGTGTAGACCTGCTGAAGGTCAGTCTCCCTCGTTTGTCCTTTTTATATGGGGTTTTTATCCCTCCCTTCCCACTCTGCAAATGTTTTTTGTTAGGAAACCCCCGGTCCACAACTTTAACGGCGGTTTTGGATACACGTCTAGGAAACCCCCGGTCCACAACTTTAACGGCGGTTTTGGATACACGTCTTTAGGCTGTACAGGGAAATGTAAGGGTGTGTCTTTGTTTTATCATGGTGATATTATTATTATTATTATTATTATTAACAACAAGGCTTGAACCAGCAACTGTCCAATCACAGCCACAGAGATTTAGCCTGCTGAGCCATAAACCGCCTCCTGCTGGAACTGCTGGAAGCCTTGAATGTGAGAATGAGAAAAATGGACCAGTGTGGTGATGTGATACAATGAAGATTGTGATTGGTTAAAGAAGTAAAACACAAGTCCCTTTCTTGTTGTCCCAGAGAAAAAAGCATCAGATATTTCACTCTATTCCAGTCCTTTTTTCCTTTTCTAATATCATACAGCCCTAATTTTAATAATCGTAGATTTATCACAAAAAAGTAGCTATTTAATTGGGTGGGCTTCAGCTCACCAATAGCTGGGCCCCTGACTCTCAGGTCCTTTGTTCTGGTAGCGCCTCTGTGTCTGCAGTAAGCTGCCTTCATTCTTGGTGGTATTTGCTGCTTTTTCCCTGCAGTGGTACCGGAAACCAGACTACGACCTTTTCACTCCTTACGTAAGACATCGTAAGCACCACCCAGGCCAGCCCTTCTACATCCTCCACCCCAAGTTCATCTGGCAGCTGTGGGACGTCATTCAGGGAAACTCACTTGAGGACATCCAGCCCAATCCCCCTTCCTCTGGCTTTATTGGTGAGCACTGCAAATTATGGAATGGAACCTTGGAAATCATACACGTTGCAATCAAACATTAAGTGATTAACTGAAGACCAAATTTCCAAAACTCCATCCATATATGAAATATGTTTTTGAGAAAACATATTGTATTACATGACAATTTTGGTTACCAGTACTGTAACATACACTATATGGACAAAAGTACTGGGACACCTGGCCATTACACCTAACGGGAACTTTCAGGGCTCTTGCAGAATAGAAAAAACATCACTGAGCTTTCCATTTTTCTTTGTATATTCTCGAATAAATGGCGAGGAGTAGTTCACAATGTACTCAAGAACTTCTTTTGGTATGCATGGTTTTCGTTCAGTCTCTACACAATTGGTAACTTCGATTTTAACACCCCCTTAAAGCACCTGAGGCCTTAGTAATGGTAAATGAAAAGCAGTTTTAACTTTGTATTTCCTGCACAGTTACATTTATTTTGGAGCAGGGGCCTTAGTCCAGGAAGCTAATCTCTGATGGTTCCCAAACGGAGAGCATCTGAGCTTGACACCTGAGCTAAACCAACCATTCGGTTTCGTTCAGGGCCTCAGCCTCCAATTCAAAGCCTCCAATTCAAAGCCTCCAATTCAAAACCTCCAATTCAAAGCCTCCAATTCCCCAGGCTTGTGCTGCTTCTGTTTTACAGGGTCATCCTTAGAACAACTGCGGTTAAGGGCCTCCCTCAAGGGCCCAGTGCTGGCATGATTACTCTGCTAGCCACAGGGTCTGAGCCTGGACACGGGTACAGATATTGATAATAGCGTCAGCCCTTACAAACCATACTGGTTGACCACAAATGTCTATAGCACAAAACAAAAAGCAGTTTGTGTTTCATCACTATTTATTAAACACAACAGATACAGGCTTAATTTCTTCTTTATAACATTTGAATACAGACACCATCTCACACGCATCTACTTTATGACAAGGATGATCCAGACATGAGATTTCTGTTGAAATGAAGTCACCACAGGGATACATTCTACCGGAATGTGGGGAAGAATGTATAGGGCTGCCCTGCAGGGGGCGCCGCTCTTAGACACGGGAGTGAAGGGACTCAGGGGTGTTCCCGGCATGCTGCATGATGCCAACCATGGTTTTGTCGTGAGCAGCTGTGTTCCTACATGCCACAGAGGTGCGGGTGTCCTCTGGCGCCCCCTCCTGACAGCGGAACAGGATCAGTAAACACCTGTAAAACTGGAGAAAAAGGGCCACACATTCAGCACCATCTTTAGCAGTGTGGAGGTACCATATAGTCAAATTATATATATATATATATTCATCATGGAACGATGAATCGCGAATCGGTTACAAATTTTAAATTTGATTTCACGACGTCAGTTCGATGACAGATGTCAATCTATGTTAGTTTTTGGTTTTAACCGAACGTGATTGAGATGGCGAGCGAATTTGAAATTGAGGACACACTCCCTGATAATAAATCGGCGGTGTGGCAGCATTTTAGCTTTCCGGTAATCACAAACGAAAACGGCGAGAAAAGCACAGACGACAAAAACTGCGTGCAAACATTGTAAAATACTGACAACTTACACAAATAGCACAACGAACATGCTTCAGCATATCCACAGGTACTGCAATGAGCTCAATTCACCACCACCAGAGCGATGATTATTAAAAGGGCAAACTATGCTAAAAAGCTGCGCATGCAAGCTTTAGTTAATAGTAATGCTTTATATTAAGTGCACCTTCATAATGCATTCATTTGCACTGTTAAGAAGAGGACACATTTTGCACAGAAAAATAAAAAAGGCCAATAGGCCTTAGAAAAAGTGCAGTGTAGGGCCACAAGAATGATTCCTGGTCTTAGAGGAATGTCATACGAGGAAAGGTTAGTTGAGCTAAATCTGTTCAGCCTCAAGCAAAGGAGACTGAGGGGGGACATGATCCAGGTCTATAAGATTCTAACAGGTTTGGATGCTGTTCAACCGAATAGTTACTTCAGCATTAGTTCAAATACAAGAACTCGTGGCCATAGGTGGAAATTAGCGGGAGAACATTTCAAACTGGATTTAAGGAAGCACTTCTTTACACAGCGTGTAGTCAGAGTATGGAATAGTCTTCCTGATAACGTAGTGCAAGCTGAATCCTTGGCTTCCTTTAAATCAGAGCTAGATAAGATTTTAACAACTCTGAGCTATTAGTTAAGTTCTCCCCAAGTGAGCTTGATGGGCCGAATGGCCTCCTCTTGTTCGTATAGTTCTTATGTATCGTGAATCTTATCAAATCGTGAGTTGAATGTATCGTTACATCCCTTATTCCATCCATCCATCGTCCAAGCTGCTTATCCTACTGGGTCACGGGGGGTCCAGAGCCTATCCTGGAAGCAATGGGATGAGGCAGGGAACAACCCCAGACAGGGGGCCAGCCCATCGCAGGGCACACTCACACACCATTCACACCTAAGGGCAATTTAGCGACTCCAATCAGCCTCTGCATGTCTTTGGACTGTGGGGGGAAGCTGGAGTACCTGGAGGAAACCTCACGACGATATGGGGAGAACATGCAAACTCCACACACATGTGACCCAAGCAGAGACTCGAACCCAGGTCCCAGAGGTGTGAGGCAACAGTGCTAACCACTGCACCACCATGCTGCCCCTATGTTCCTTATTATTATTGTTATTATTATTATTACTATTGAGTTTAATTTACGCTATTACAGTGGTTCCCCCTTATCCGCGGTTTCAGTTACCGCGATCCAAAAGTATTACATGGAAAATTCCAGAAATAAACTTCATAAGTTTTAAATTGCACATCATTTTGATTGTTGTGATGAGATATCATGCCAGGACGTCAATCACCCTTTTCTCCAGCATATTCATACCGTATATACTACCTGCCCGTTAGTCAGTTATCAGATCAACTGTTGCAGTACTACAGTACAGTCGCAGTACAGTTCAGTTTATTGTTATAATTGTTCTATTTTATTTTTAGTTATTATTAATTTCTCACTGTGCCTGATTTATAATTTAAACTTTATCATAGGCATGTATATGTAAGACAAAACATAGTTATATACTATCCTTGGTTTGAGGCATCCGCTTGGGGATTCTCAGCAGATAAGAGGGGCTACTGTATTAAGATGGATCTTCATGGCTAATGTTCTGAGGTCAACCCATAACCTGCAGGACAGATGCAGTGGATTCTGTGATCCCCATTCCTGCCTTCATGACCATTTACATTTTCATTTACCAGACACAATATTCTAAGCAATATACAGTTGAGAAGAGAGGGGCAGCAATTGGTTGCGTAGGGCCCTGCTCTGGGTCCCAGTGGTGAAGTTGCTTTGCCTACCATGTGATTCGAACCAGCGACCTTCTCAATCACAAGCACAGCACCATAACCGGCTCGCATTTCCCTGCAGGAATCCTTCTGATGATGGTGCTGTGCAGAGAGGTCCATGTGTACGAGTACATCCCGTCCCGGAGGCAGTCCTACCTGTGCCACTACTACGAGCAGTACTACGACGAGGCGTGCACCTTGGGGGCCTACCACCCTCTGCTGTTCGAGAAGATGCTAGTCCAACGCCTCAACTTCGGTCTGGAGCGTGACCTTGACAGGAAGGGCAAGGTCACCCTTCCTGGGTTCAGCACCGTGGACTGCAGCCCCTGAGCCTCGGTCCTGACCTACCTTTTTGTAATACTGCCTTGTAATACTTGGACGTGAGTCAAGATTCGAATACGGGGTATTATCAGCCCTCTTTTTAAACGGAAACGATAAGTAAGCTAGACCTTAAAATTATATTTATTGTACCAACCGTCTTTATAAAATGCTTTTTAATAAGTCTTTTATTAAATTCGAGATGAATATGAATTTATTCTCAATCCTGAGAAGAAGCTGGGATGAACAATAGCAGCTGCTTTTAGATATGTTGTCTTTTTTACCTGGTGGTGAACAGTTGCAAGTTTCTCATAAAAAGGACTTTTTCGTGAAAAGGGGCCTTTTTTAATTTATGATTGTCTCTGCTGACTGGCACAGGATTTGAAATACCTGCAAGACAGGGTAGCAATAGATTTTTTTAATATGCACGGAAACCGCTGCATTCTTTTTTCATTTCAGTAACTCTTTACTACTGTAGGACTTTTCAATGTTACTTGTCCTTTTTATATGCTACATTTTATACTGTACATTTTAAAGCTGTTCATGCTAAAAGTTAGTTGTCACAGAAAAAATATGAAAAATTACTGAAAAATCACTGTAAAGTGACCGATACAGAATATTAAATTCTCTCTCCTTTTTTAATATTTCAGCAGTTTAAGAGGCAGTGATCACTGGCATGAGCAAGAACTAAAGAAATGGGCAGATATTTTGTATATTGATGGTGATCTGGCATTTACAGTCTCTCTCTCCACACCCTTACATCTTCTGATTTCACCCTGATTGATGGTGATCTGGCATTTACAGTCTCTCTCTCCAC